TAAGAATATATATATATATATATATATATATATATATATATATATATATATATATATACGCACACACACACACATATATATACATATATATACACACACATACACACACACAAACACATACATACATATACACACACACACTCACACAAAGCCAGATGCTTAGCAGCATGGGAGAGAGAATATACTGGCAAGTATTAATAGTAAAAAATTCAAATAGGTCACAGTTCTGACAGCCCAACTATCAAATGTTCATCTTAAGTAAAGCAAAATTGGGCCACTCTGCCATTCAGATATATTATACCATTTCTAAATAAAAGTATAAGTTGTTTTATTCATCCACAATAGAATTCATTCACTTTACTTTTCTTGTCCCAGTAACATGTTTTATGTGGATTGACTCCTGCCCTTTTAGATTTATCAGGATATTTATGTTTTATCTGATTGCTTTAATTTTATTGCATAATCAGAAGATACCTAATCTTTTGAACTTACCCCTTTCACATGTTCAAAGGTGATATTTTTCATTTGAATTGGATCCACTGCTGCATCAAGCCCAGAACTTGCTCGGAAACGAACTGCAAGCAAAATAATTTATCTAATCAAATAAATTTTGTCATTTATTTTATTTTTGTACAATATATTGTAATTGCTGCTATTTGTCCATACATTGGTGTTTTAAAGCTACTTAGCTACCCAGAGATAGGTGGCCATTTAAATCACAATCTAAATAAATACATAAGTAAGAAATTTTCATCGGTAACAATATCCTTGTATGATCTGGGCAGCTATATAAATTTATTTAATAAACAAATAATAAAATACCATAATAATGCAGAATTACCTGATATTCTTTAAAAACTATACTTTCCCTTCACTCTTACAAGGGATCCAAAAGTGACTACACAGACACACACACACACACACACACACACACCAATACCTCCAGCTTTGACAATGCTTCAGTCTCAGTATTTACACAAACCATTAGCAGCTGTTTACTCAATTAGAATTTTTTCCACTCATATCAAATTTTAGACTCATATCATCCAGGCATCTGATTTCTACAATAAGAACATCTTCAATTTTTCTAAAATTAAAATACTGATCAAAGACTTCCCAACGGTTCAAAAAGATACAAAATATGTCATTCAAAATTAAAATTCTGATATTGTTCAATATATAAGTTCTGAAATGGCTGATACTACAATAAATAGATACTGGAAAACAAAGGAGGCATTACTATGGTATTAAATCTGCTGGGATTATTTATCTAATCTGAAGAATATGCAAGCTGTGTTCTATATATCCTATTCAAAAATACTTCAAACAGATATAAAGCATACAGATATAAAAATAATCTCTTTCTCTTTTTTCCATTATATTTCAGGAAACTCTTTCCTTTATTTAAAATATACTCCTTAACAATCAGACACAGAATAACTTGACTTTTAAATTTAAGTCTAGGACAGCATAATAAAATAGTAAATAATAATAAATTTAAAATGTAGTAGAGTGAAAAGTTAACAAACCAGCATCAGAAAACGAGCCTTTAGGTAAGAACTGGCTTTTTAACACAGTATAAATACCAAACAACACTGCTAGAAAGACAAATAATCGAGTTCGTCTTAAGGAATCTGAAAGAGAAAAAAATATTTGTTTAGTCAGTTGATTATGGTGCACATATTCACTACATTAATCTGTGCAGCTGACAAAAACTGAAATAAGCACAACATAAAATATCATAAACACCCAATTTAAAACAAAAAAGTTGAGACTCCTTACAGATTCTTTGACAATACAAAAACCAAACATACGTATTACACCTCTTGGCCTCTGAATAAAAAAACCAGATCTTTAAGGCTTCCAGAACATTCCCAAGGATCAGGGCTGTCTGAAACTTAGGACGGAGAATCTTTCAAGTGACTGGCATTGTAACAGGGAAGGCATGCCTCCTGGGTCCTTCAAACTGACACTGTTTCACACCGTCCAATTTTTTTAAAGAGAAGCCCCCCCTCCCATACATTACACTGCAATAATTCAACTGGGTAATATGTCTTCAGTGACTATAGGAAGGGCCTCCCAATGTAGGAATGGGACATTTGATGCTCAAGATAGTACAGTGCATGGTACAGCTATGCCTGGCTATAGCTGCCATCCACCCCTCAAGCAGTAACCCTCTGATTGCACAACTTAGTCTGAGGAATGTTATCCTCTCTAGGTTAACAATGTTTTTTCCCCTAACCAGAGTCTCAAAGCTTCCAGGCATCGAGAAAGAAACAGTAACTTTGGGTGCCCCAAATATGCTTTATTCAGAAGGCAACTGGACTTTCTTGTTTTTTCTTTTGAAGACGTTTAGCTTCTTATCCAAGAAGCTTCTTCAACTCTGACAGGATAGTGGGCAATGGAAGGATTTATATTCCTTGCAGACAGCTGGCCATTTGCATCCTTTTAGAGGGTCGCTGAAGCACTTGGAGGTTTATCTATGTCCTCAGGATCATCTGAGTTCCTGTAGTCTGCAATTTTTGGGGGGGAAATCCATCCCTACTCCCACACATTTCGAAGGCTGTTCATCCTGAATTGTTTAGCTAAAATCTGTAGAGATTCTCAGTTATCCAGATCATGTTTGCAAACCATGACATGGATGACTGAGAATCTCTACAGACTAATAACTTGGATGGCCTGAAACAAAGATGTATAGCTGAGTATGAACACTGTTGATACTTAGCCTTGTATCAAGAGATAACCTCACCCAGCAACTTCACATAGATATCTATTAGGAATGGGGAGTCAAGCTGTGCAAAAAACACAAAGCAGGGGCTTATAGCTACGTCTCTTCCCATCTGGTAACACCAATTGGAACTGCCCTCAAAGGAACAAGAAAACTATTACAAACAAACACTGATCATTTTACATGTGATGAAGACATGGAGGGGAGATGTACTTACCTATCACTAGACAAAACAGACATAAAGGAATTAATTTTACTACTTATTTAAAATATGTTCTCCCAATATTAAAAGGAAAGGAAATTTACAGAATAATAAAAAGTAATAAGAAAAGGAAAGGAAGTTTACAAATGATTACAAAATCTGCTTTAACAAAACAGATTAACTGACCAATTGTACGCTGTGCAAGTGCCTGTGATTTCAAAAAGCCCTCTGCAAACCCAGTTTTAAAAGCGTCTTGATGAGCTTCAGGTATGTTTTTTCTTTTCATCAGTTTGTCTAAACTTTCAATCTCAGATACTTTCTCTCTCAGTAAAAGACCCTAAGAACAAAACAGGAAATATTTATTATTTTTTAAAATCACCAAATCTCATGTTAAAACACAATTTCTCTGGAAGTATTTATAGTTTATATTTCTGTCATATGTAATTTCATGGCATTATTCAAACCTTTGTTTTTAAAAAGCTTTACACAGGACAGGGACAACTCGCCCCTGGTCAACTCATGCAGGACAATTCAACATGGGATAATTCAAGAGAGGGACAAGTGAATTGTGTTATCTTGCTTTAGATTTGAATCTTCTCAAGATAGAAGTTCTTGGGGTTGAGGTGAGCTGCAATTCTACTTGTCCCTCTCTTGAGTTAACTCACTTTGAATTGTCGCTTGGTGAGTTGGCCATGGTGAGTCAACCATGGCGAGATGGCTATGGCAAGTCACCTCTGGTGAGATGGCCAGGAAGAGTTGTTCCATTCCACATACACAGGTTAATTTTAGCAACAACAAAAAAAAGATTATACACTGGACGTTTACAAAGTGATTTCCTCCCCAAAAAGTACAGTTCTAAACCCAAGAACTCCTACTGAACTTTTAAGTTAATGTGCATTCCCCAAATAAACATGTTTTAGTTCCTTACATGAATAAGTCTTAAAACTACCAATCAAGGAAATGTGCTTGTCATATAAAATTACTAAACTATAATAAACATGTAACTAAATAAAGAATGGATTGGTAACACTATCACCCACATTTTTGAGAATCCTAGAAATTTTAAATAATTTTAAATAGACAAATCTTTAAAAATGTCAATAAACTGTCCCAAGATTTAAAGAGAACTATCAATATTTTATAAGATTTTAAAGCAAGAGTACCAAAATCTTACAAGTGGTGGCAATCTTGTGATAATTTGGTCTTTTAAAAAATACTTTTAAAATTATATATTAAGATGCAAAGATTACTAACTTTTGAATTAAAGTCATATATTAATTATGAAATCTAATTGTTTAGTTTTGCTTCCCATAAGCCGATATCCTCGGCTATGCTATTATGGTAGTAGAAGCCTAATACATCTAGCAAATATCAAGTAGGTGCAGTCTGTTCCAAGTATTTCACAGAAAATATTTTGCATATTCACTTATGTATACATTTTAATTCTTCACTGTCTGTACTAATTATTTAAAAATATAATTAATCTAACCCTATTTGCACAACCAACTTGATGCATAAAGTCCCTAACACTTGGTAATATTTCTATTTCTATGGAACTTAAGAGCTGCTTGACATTTGACTACATTTTCTAACTTCAAATGTACTACTGTATGTATGTGGGCGACATTACATGGTAACAGTCACCGGAGAAGGTGTAAGATTCTGCTGTAAACATAATGTGCACATTCTCATAATTACCTTTACAAATGAGGGAGCTACATCTTCTGCTTCTGCTGAATGTTCTGATGTGGACTGTAGCCGTCTTGCTCTTGATTTCAGAGTCTTAAAACCCCGAGACGGAATGAAAACTTCATACAGAAAAAGAGATATTATACTCCAAGAACATGTGAGAGAAAACAGTGAGATGTGTTCAATAGTTTATCTGGAATACTGCTTAGATACTGATCCTTAATTGATATTGTAACATAAAAAGCTGTATAATCATTTCTCAATCCTATGTGCAAAGATTCACATTTTCAATACCAAAATAGCTACCTAAGCACCATTGTAGCAATGTGAGCTACCATATTTGAGAACTTGATTTTTTTGTATATATACATATACAGGTTAAAGGGATTTTTTTTCTGAGGGATCTCATGGTTGAATGCAAGGATATGAGAGCAACGAGGCAAGAAAAATAAAATAAATGGAAACAACCTGCCAACCGCCATCATGCTTATCTCTAAGCATGTTAGCGATAAGCTGCATAAGAGGAAAAATTTTTGTAACTTTGTGTTTGTGTGTGTTTCAAGTCCTGCAGGAGATGCCTGTGAAATAAGTGACCAATTCAGTTCAGAACTAAGAAAGAGAGAGGTAGATGACACGCAGCTGAGGAGTAGGAAGGCATCAGAAAATACCTACAGCACACAGGGAGGAAAAAAACCTAAGAGAAAAAAAAGAGAAAAAGAGAAAAAAAACCCTAAAACAATTATGTATAAGACAGCCCTTTGCAAATTCAGAACTCTTTTTTTAGAATGTCATGTTTGTCTCAGTTAAAAAGATACCATTTTTAAATATTGCTTTTGCATTCACTTCTGCAGGAAATTCTCGACTTACAACTGTTTAATGACCGCTCAAAGTTGCAATGGCACTGAAAAAAGCGAATTATGACCAGTTTTCACTTATGACTATTGCAACATCTCCCCAGTTGTGTGATCAAACTTTGAGTGCTGGCAACTGGTGTGCATTTTCTGTGGTTGCATTGTGCCATGGTCCTAGGGTTGTCATTTGTAATCTTTTAGGAAGCTTCTGACAAAGTCAACGGGGGAAGCCAGACTAACTTAACAACTGTAATAATTTGCTTAACAAAAAAAGGTCATAAAACAGGGCACGACTCATTTTAACAATTGTCTTGCTTAGCAGTGGAAATTTTAGGCTCAATTGTGGTTACAAGTCGAGAATTACCTATACATATATTCAAACAACATAAAGATGAAATTGTGAACAGTTATAGAGAGAAATAAATAATACTTTAGTTCATCTTTTTGCTCTGCTGTGTCATCCATTCCTATTCTTACTCAACTTCTGACAACCAAATAACATTTGCAAAGCAGAAAAGGGCTGATAGTTTGTGATTCTAATTGAAGTAACCACAATGTTTTTAAAAAATGCAAACTTCTGAAGTTATAACGAGTAAAAGATCCTCAATGTTGTTCCCCATAGTGTTCAGTGACAATTTATTCTGATAGCTCTGGAAAGTCTATAGAAATCTTCACTACACAGAATAGATTACAACACAGATTGGTAATAATTAAAACCTATTCTATTTAAACAAGGTATTTCAGACTAGTTCTCTGAAACATTTGCTTATTCTATATAGTTTCTTACTGACTAGGAATTATTCACATATAAATTATTGCACTTATTTTCATACTTTATAGAAATTACAATTCAAATTACAACTCCCAGTAAATCCAGACTTGCCTGCAAACAGTGGGTATACATGCGAATTCCTGGCCTTAAATGCACTTGTAACTGAGGTATCAGAAATGATACAGTGCTGCCTTAAATCAGTCTTATTGAGTACTATAGCAATATGTTTTTTAAAATCGCATAACTAATCAGATGTACTTTAAAATGTTAAAAATACCTTCAAGGCTGAAGTGCTACCTTCTATATTGGTGATAAAATGTTTTTGATTTTCCAAAAAGTATTGAATTGTATGTAACACCAACATCATCTCACTGGAATGTCTGGGAATTATAATTCAGTAATCTCTACAGGGCCATAATTGCCTGCATGATTAATATTTTTGTATACAGGCAGTCCTCATCTTACAACTACAACTGAGCCCAAAATTTCTGTTGCTAAACAAAACATTTGTTAAGTGAATGCTGCCCATTTTATGACCTTTCTTGCCACATTTGTTAACTGAATCATGCAATTGTTCAGTTAGTAACACAGATGAATGAATTTGGCTTTCCCCCATTGACTTTGCTTGTCAAAAGGTCGCAAAAGTTGATCACATGACCTCGGGACATTGCAAGTGTCATAAATATCATTTGCCAAGCATCTAAATTTTGATCACGTGACCATGGCGATGCGGCAACATTTGTAAGTGTGAAAAAGATCGTGTCCCTTTTTTTAATGCTGTTATAACTTTGAATGGTCACTAAACAAACTGTTATAAGACAAGGACTACATGTTCTGTAGTGTACTATGAACTAGTTCTCCTTCTACAGAGTGAAATACAAGGGATTATTCTTCTTTGGAAAAGCTTTTAGAGAACTCTTTTATACAAAGGAATACATGTTCTACTTATGGAAACTCCAATTATATTTCTCTTACTTTTGAAAAAGAAACATTTTTACTTCCTACCTGGCCAATGTTGAAGACTGGAACATATACTCTGGGGAGGATTAAGATGCTGTCTGTAGAGGTAAGAGGAACGTAAGACCCTAAATGTATCTGCAAAACCTAGGAAAGAATAAAAAGCTTATTTAGTATTTACTTAAATCTTACAGGAATAAGATCTTGTGCATTTAAAAATTTTAAATTATATACATATATACATACATCCCAGATACATGTAAATTAGACAATGTGCTAATACAGTCCCTTAAATAAGCAATTTTGCAATGATGATATACAGGTTACAAAATCAAAGATCACTCTCAATATTTTATGCTTAGTTATAATGGTGCTATGATACCTGAAAGAGAACAAAGAATATTTGTGTATGAGTAAACAGATTACTTTTCTCTCGAAAGTCAGGAAAGTGAATGTTAAACATGATATATGCTATGTATTCCTTGTTTAAAATTTGGATTAATGGCTTCTTGAGGACCAATTCCTACTCTAAGTAGAACCAAAGATGGGAGACGAAATGGAGAAAATGAACTATATAGACCAATGGATCTGAATTTTAAGTAACTGTGCAAAAACAAAAAGCAAAAACTCTTTAAAAATAGCAGGTGCTAATTTAGGTTTGAATATAGCTTCCCAAATGCTACTTACATTAGAAATTTGTAATATAGCAAAGGTTTATCCACCACCATGAGCCACGGTGGCGCAGTGGTTAGAGTGCAGTACTGCAGGCTACTTCTGCTGACTGCCGGCTGCCTGCAATTTGGCAGTTCAAATCTCACCGGGCTCAAGGTTGACTCAGCCTTCATCCTTCCGAGGTGGATAAAATGAGGACCCAAATTGTTATGGGCAATATGCTGACTCTGTAAACCACTTAGAGAGGGCTGTAAAGCACTGTAAAGTGGTATATAAGTCCAAATGCTATTGTGATTGCTATTATGAACCCACATCATCAGATAAGTAATAATTGCCTTTGTGCAATCCATATATTGAACAGGGAACTGCACTTAGCAAGCTCTAAACATGAAAACTGGAGTGAATATAGATTTTTAAGTATAACTGGGCTAAGCATCTCGAAAGTAACTTGTACATGCAAATTCCAACAATAATTTTGCTATGTAGTTGCAAATACAATTATACCATGATAATGGAAGAACACATAATAAAGGTTTCCTGTTATAAAAACATCCTATTTTTAATGAATTATGATGATTTTAACTTCCACCATAACAAAAGCCATATCATTCTTTGAATTATACTCCATCTTTCATTCAGTAACAGAAAGTGGTGTGCTATACTTCATCCTCTCATTTTATCCCACAATACCCCTGTGAGGTAGATTGGGCTAAGGAAGAATGGTTAAGAGGATTATAACTTGTCTCTCCAATGTCAGCCCAAAACTTTAGCCATGATATCACAGACTCACTGTACATGGTAGGATGGAATAAGCAAATAAATGAGAAATTATTTATTTACATGTTTAATATTTCAATCCTGTCTTTTCTCTAGTTAAGGGAGACATATTTCATTCTAACAATCCTGTCGTGTGTGTGTGTGTGTGTGTGTGTGTGTGTGTGTGTATGTGTATTAGTGTAGCAGTTTTGAAGAAGATACACAAATATGGTCTACTTAATATTTGGAAAAGGCATATATTATGTTGAAGTCAGAATACAAATTCTATAAATAAACACAAGGGATATTTCAGATTCAAGAGAACATAATAGCACTAGAAATAAGATGGATTAAGGGGCTAAGAGCAGACAAAATTTTGCCTGTAGGAAAGAGACTGGCTAAGCTAGGGTCAAACAGGGATTTAGTTTAGAATCTTTATGTGAACACAACAAGGTGAAGCATTCAACCCCTCCTTGAATGCTGTGAAACCTTATCTAGTATCACCCAGATGCAAATTGTCAGTCTAAGAAAATTCCTGTACATATGCTTGAGCAGGAAAACTGCCAACTGGACTGTTCAAGTATAGTTCTGGTTGTTTGGGCCTGACACTGCTATTTATTTATTTAAAATAATGATTTTCTGTATTAATTCCTTATTTGCAAATTATAGTTAACTATGTTTGATATTACAATCAATGTCATCAAGATTAATCCAGTATAATCAAGCTATATGATGTAAACAAGATAGTGTTGAATAAGCTGACCCTAGATGAGGAATGGCAAAAGCTAGAAATAAAACTAGCAATAATTCTGCATTTGGAACTGCATTACAGTGAAACAGTAATAGAATTAAAGCACTTTACAGAAGCATTACTCATGGGTGATATAGTTTATGAATAAATTAAATTACTGCCCAGATATGTTAAAATATCATCCTAAAGCATACCATATTTATTTTCAAAGAAAGACTCTGCTGATACATATGACGTTTGCCAATGTGAGGGTATTTTATTTTCTTCGCCAAAGCCAGGAATCAGTTTGTTCAGTACTTCATCAAGTTGGCTAATTTTCAAATCACCCAATCCTAGGTCTCGTAGATTAAGTAATGGCTGTAAAAATAATAAAGGATTCAAATTATAATTAAAAATTGGATTACTTCAAAAATAACATTTAACTTTTAAAATCTGACAGCCATGATTATTATGTGTTTAAGTGCCAGATTTATAAAAAGCTATGTTTTTGCTTATTCTATCTGAAACATGTGTTCATACTCAGTATCTATTGTACCATTATTTTACAATAGGAAATTATTAGAATATTTAAACATGGGAGTGTAAATTTCAGATGCTTTTTAATAGTCATGTAATATCACTTTCAGAGTATGCTATCAAATTAATGAACACTTAATCTCAAAGATGTATTTAATTTCTTTGTGAATTCATATTGAAATCCGAAGGACACATACTTAAAGCTAGGCATTCCTATCAATATAATAGAATTTTTTTCTCAGAGACGCATAATTCCAACCCAAGTCTATAACATTTTTATATTATAGAAAAATCACGTACACTTATTGATATTTTTGTAAAGTATAAATTATATGAAAAATATTCATAAATAAATTACACCATTCAAGGATTCTTACTTCAGGGCTCAACACATCATGTTCAGGTGGTGCTTCTTTCTGCACAGACTGGGTGGATGTTGGGATGAAAGACTGTGTTAAACTTTTGGGTGAATGAAATGCATTTATGAGGTGGCTCAAAGAAACTGTAACCTGGTAAAATACAAGGTATATTAAGTCACATGTTTTGTTTAGGTTTACTTTATTGTCATTGCACCTCATACAACAAAATTAAATGCCATCTTCAGTGTACATTATAACTATAAAAATAAAACACAAGCACACCCCTCACAATCTATACAACTGAACTGAAACGATGTACTATACAGTAGAATTCAATAGAGTTCCTGTCCTGGGATAGAATCTGTTTTTCAGCCTATTTGTCCTTGCTTTTATTATCCTGTACCGTCTGCCAGATAGTAATAGTTCAAAAAAAGGGTGTCCAGGATGAGATGGTTCTTTAAGAATGTTTTGAACTTTCTTAGGGCAGTGGGAGCTATAAAGCTCTTCCAAAGAGGGGAGAGGGCAACCAATGATCCTCCGGGCAATGACATTAACCCTCTGGAGTGCTTTCCTATCTACCACTGTGCAATTGGAAAACCATACACATGTGCAGTAAGTTAAAATACTCTCTATGGTGCAGCGGTAGAAAGTCACCAGCAGTTTTTCATTCAGTTGTTGTTTCCTGAGAAATCTCAGGTAGTATAATCTCTGCTGGGCCCTTTTGACCAGTGCGGCAATGTGATATTATATAATTTGGTTGTTCTTAAATAACTGTAAAATCCCTAAGCTTCCAGGAATAATGTAGAAGTCTATGTTTGCTTTAACAAGGTAAACAGCTGTTGCTGCACATTTCAAAATACAGTTTAAATACTGAATCAGTATCACAGAAATTTTAGTAACAGAAACACTGAAACCATAAAAAACTAGTTTAATTTTGCAAATATTTACAAACTTTTCAGAAGCAATCAATTACTGCAGAATACATTGTATAAAAATTCCTCTTACTTCGCAAAACTAACTTTAATATTTGATTTTGTGAAATAAATTATTCTTGTAACTGCTAATTAAATTAGAAAACTAAAACCGGGAATATGCATAGCATTATAGAAAATAATGATGTACTTACTTATCATGTTTGCAAAACTACCTGAAAACAAGCAAAACATGTATTGCCGGTATCTTATCTAATATGAAATAGAGAACACCTACTGACACCAAATATTTCTGAACATTTAATATCCTCTCCCAATTGTGAAAAAATACTATAAAAGATTTTTGAAACAGTTTGTTACATTAACAATAATTTTACTGAAAATATTTACAATCTATGTATGAGCCTTGAAACTGATATTAAGACCAGAATGATAAATTGTGCAGAATATGTGTTGTCCATAGTTTGTATTTCATCTACAGCAGAGGTGTCAAACTCGTATCAGGTCTTTCCCCCTTTGTTAAACCAGGTGTGGGCGTGACCAGCACATGACACATTCAACCCGCAGGCTGGGAGTTTGACAGCCCTGACCCTATTAATGCACAATGTTACTCTTAGAAGACAATTAGTTGAATAATGTAAATACAAATGAAGAATATTGATTCTATTTAATACACAATGTCCAGCCAGGGTTGAGACCCAGTTAATGGAATGGAAACAGAATAATTGCACTTGATGATCTCTGGCAAGATTGGGATGGGGCATGTGTATCCACCCTTGACCTCTCAATGGCCTTCAATACCACTGACCGTGGTATCCTTTTTGGGCCAGCTATGAGATTTGAAACTGGGCAGTCTTGAGCTGATTTGACTCCTTTCTCCAAGGCTAGTCTCTATTTGTGTTGACAGGGAATGAGAAGTCCAGTCCACAACTGTTCCTTTGTGGTGTGCTGCAGGATTCAGTACTCTCTCCACTCCTTTTTAGTATCTACATGAAGTCACTGAGTGAGATAATCTGCCCTCATGGAGTACCACCAGTATGCTGATGATATTCAACTTTACCTCTCCATCTCTGGTGGCCAAAGTGTTGCTGTCACTGCTCTCTTGCTGAGGTTATGAGGCTTGGGTGGGGGAACAACAGACTTTGACTGAACCCTGGTAAGATGGGAGAGGCTTTTGGAGTGTGGAGTTTCAGCAACAGGACTGTAACAACTTTACTTTGGGATGGAGTGACACTGCTCCAAACAGATCCAATGTGCAATTTGGGAGTTCTCTTGGAATTGCAACTTCTCAAAGAGCAGATGGAAGCTGTGGCCAAGATAGCTTATCCAACTATGTACTGTGCACCAATTGTGCCCTTTCCTGGATCAGAAATCCCTGCACTCGGTCACTTAAACCCTGGTCATGTCATGTTAGACTATTTCAACATCCTGTACATGGCTACACTCTTGAAGAATATTTGGCAGCTACAGCTGGTGCAGAAATAAGTTATGTGAATGTTTTTGTGGGGCTCTATGGCACCCATGTTATACTGATTTTATGTAAGCTGCACTGGTTGCCAATTTGCTTCTGGATCCAATTCAAGGTATTGATTAGCATCTTTAAACGCCACTATTGCACAGGATCAAGCTATCTGAGGAACCATCTCATCCTAATGGGATTCCCAATTTCACCCATGCTGACAGAAGAGGTGTGCTATGGACCCTGTTGGTCAAGGAATTCCAGCTGGCAGCTCCAGGAGAAAAGCCTTTTCTGCCGTGCCTTGTCCTTATGAACATTGTGCCCTACCCCCAAAATGAGATTTGCATCCAATTCTTTGGCCTTCTGAAAGAACCTTAAGACCTGCTCTGTTAGGTGGTTAAAGATAAAATGCCATCTCCTCCCTGTGTACATTTTGCCGTCTTCCTTCTCATCTTGTCAATATTAAATCAAATTAAGTGTTATTGCTTATTGTTTTAAGGTTTTGTCTTTAATTCTAAAATTACATGGGTGGCATATGTTTACTAAATAAATAAATAATAGAGGTAAAAGGACTGTCCTTTTTTGTAATTTCCATTAAAAATCATCTCATTTTCTCATCAATTGAGATTAAAGATAACATGCAACTTGTCACAGCTTTTGGCAGTATATTTTTATTTATTTGTATCCCACCTTTATTACTTTTACAAAGTAATTAAAGGTGGAAAATTTATCCAACACAACTTCCTCCTATTGTCCCTACCCACAATCCTGTGAGATGGGTTAGTCTGAGAGTGACCTTACACACCAAACCAAACTGGCTCTGGCCAACTGGCCAAAATAAAAAAAATATGCTTTTTAAAGACTGAAAGATCAATCTTTTACTGTAATACAAGACTTGGATCTTTGATAGATTGATTCTGATTATCTTAGTTTGTATCCTTCTGACCTCAGAATGCTTTGGTTCTATATCAAGGGAAACTTCTCCAATTAGATAGCCATTATGAGCAGGAATTATGAGCTGTGACCCAACTCAACAGGATACAAGATCAGAAAAGAATTAAAGTGGTTATTTACCATATTATTTTACAGATCCTCTATTGAATTATGCATAATCCTGGAATTTACCAAAAACTTTCCCCAGATCTCATTTGAACCTAAAATAAGATTTTGATTCCAGTAAAAGGCAGCTTAATAAGGTACTTTTAACATTTGGATGATGTGCTCAAAAACTCAAGTATTTGCTTTGGACACTTGAGATTATGGCGAAAATGTTAAGAGAGAGCCCGTAACATTAAGAAACGGAACATCTATGCGTTCTTCAATTCATAGTCACCCCAGTAAATTTGGAAATCAGGAGGCTCAGAACAAAAGTATGTCATAGTTAACGAACGGAAGTTATCTCCACAAAGCGATAGGCAGGCAAGTAAAATATTTTTTTTTTAAAAAAAATTAATGAAATAAAGGATAATTAGAGAAGGCATCGCCCTTCAAGAGCGTATCCCTTTACATTTCAGGGAAGGGGCTACAGTCTTGCATGTTTTCATTGGCTTCGACTAACTTCCATGAAGGTAAAATCCAGCACATTTTCAAAGGCTTTTTCCTTCCTCTCCCGCATATTGTCTAATAAACTTATTGGGCCAAGGAAGCCTCGCCTTCCCGTCCTCCCCCTGGCGGAACCTCCCTACTCACACCATTCCTTCGGGGTCCCGTTTCCCTTCCCGCCCCCGTTCTCCCTAACTACGCAGAACAATAGCGGCTTCCACAGCTGCTCTTAGGGAGGCCTTCACCTGGGGCTGCACCGTGGTAGAAAAAGAAAGCATCCTTCTCGCCACTCAAGCGGCCAGACAGGTTGAGACCGAGGACGCCTCTTCCTCTGCGGTTCCTCCGGCCTCGTTCTTCGCGGGAGAAGAGGATTCGTTGGTTTATCAACTCTTCCCGAAAATGGCCGCCTCTCACAGTTGGAACGGGCCCGGCTGAACCCCGCCCGGCAGCTGACGGTTATCGAGGAGTACTTCCGGGTGACCTCATAACCCCTCCCTAGCAACCGGCTGTGCCTGCGCTCAGATTTGTAAATTGTAGACGGTTGAGGGGGGAGTCTCTGAGCGTGTCCCGCCGCCTTTTGTAAAATGGTCGCGGCGGAGGAAAAAGTAATTTGGGCTGACATTGAGCTCGCGTCCGCGCGGTGCGGTGAATTAGAAGGAAGTGTTAGTGAAATGGAGGCGCTCTCTGTGGCGGAGGCCAACGAGACTGAAGCGAGTTATTGTTTGAACCAGGGCGGAAAGCGACTTAGACCGCTTCTTCTCTTCTTTTCTGGCTTCCCCATATCCTTTCCCTGTGCGCCTGTTAGTTCCTCTTCGCCGTCGGCATTGTTAGTGCTGAATAAAAGTGTCTGGGGGCATTTTGTTCCCTCTCCACCCGTGTGTAATAAAGGTAGTTTTATTTTAATCAAAGCCGCCTTCGAGAGATCGCCAGTACTGGACTGGCTCTGGTGATTTTCAGATCCATTCTTAAACCTCACTAGCGGGCTTTGTGCCGCCGCAATCTCCCACCCTCACAGGATTCTCTTTGGTATATGAAAGTCTTAAATTCCTGGATTAAATTCTTGCACACTGATAAAGACGAAAGTTGGAAATAAATTTGGGGAACAATACGTAATTTCAGGAGTAACGATACAGTTTGACAGATCGCGCTTGTTTTTAAATATACTTTGGCGGGGGGGGGGGGCAAAGATAAAATGACACCCAAAACAAACAGACACAATTGCGTTAGTGTTTTCCGGACCATAGAGAAGCGTCGCCGAGAGCGACAACCGAGCAGGAGCGACTAAACCGGAAGGTGGGTGGTGAGTCCGCCCCTACGCCGCCGTGCGTTGCCTTGGTGGCTAATATGTCTTGCGTCGGTTTCGGTTGACGTGCAAGTGGCGGAAGCAGGGGGGTGGAACTTAGTTTTGAATTGTGGCGGATCGAAGCGGCTGTTCGGGCTGGGCGCAGGGAGGCTTGGAGGAGAGTAGGACTGTGGCGTTAGCGATCGTGATGGCGGAAACTTCTGCACCCCAAGATAATGTGAGAAGGGAGGAAGAGAAGGGCGCCTCGTGCGGGAAGCGCATCACCGTACCCCAGCCGCCCTCCATCGAGGACTTTACCATCGTTAAACCGATCAGCCGAGGTGCTTTCGGGAAAGTTTATCTGGGTCGCAAAGGCGGAAAACTCTACGCCGTTAAGGTGAGGCTCCCCTCTTCTCGGCAATTGTCGCGGAATGCAGTTAAAAATGGTTAGCCCGAAAGTTCGCTTTAATTTTGATTGGTCACAGGCTTCAGTTGCAAAGTAGGCAAATGGCAATGGAGCCGAATTAAAAGTTGCAGAGCATCTGGGGACGATTTACAATTAGAAAAATGTGCGCCAGGAATATGGATCCTTCGTTTTTCTGGCATTGCTTCCTCCACCCCACCCCCACCCCAGCTGCTGCCCATGTCTACTTTCTTGTGGAGCATTGAGAATTTTAAAGAAATTAGTTATGTGCGATAAGTGGCAATGGATAACAAGCCAGGTGTCTTTCCCCTATGTAGCTTCGGTTTTGAAAAAAAATTATATTATCTCATGCCCCTTTGTAGATGATTAATACTTCCAATTTGCTTTCTAAAAAATCGAGTTTCTTAAACATTTAGATGGGCTAGAGTAGACCAAGTTAACAAACTTCATTATTAGAAAGGTAAATGAACCATGATATAAATGCCTAATCTTTCCATGTAATGGAATACAATCAACTTTATAAAGTTTAATTCCTAATTTTTTAAGGGCCTGAGTGAGGTTTTACAGATTTTGATTGTAAGTATACAAAAAGACTTAAGATATTCAGCATGAATGATTTATAGTATAATTAATAACTATATCGGGTACGAGTGTTTGGCATTAGTTGCATGGAGCATTCAGCAAAAATCCTTAGTATGGAGGATTTATGAATTATAGGCATAGGGAAAAATAACTTTATAATGTATTTTTCTGCAGTGGAGAAGTATAATGCACTATAGGCACAATTGTTTTTACAGGTGGTAAAAAAGGCTGATCTGATCAATAAAAATATGGCTCAGCAGGTACAGGCAGAAAGAGATGCCTTGGCTCTTAGTAAAAGTCCTTTCATAGTACACTTATTCTATTCGCTTCAATCTGCCAACAATGTCTACTTGGTGAGTAATCTAGTTCTTCGAAACCTGTTTCTTTTTAAGTGTGGTTTTGCTGTTGTCTCAATCCATTGTTTATATAGTGTCCATATCACCTCCTGTATGAATATCAACTTCAATTACCAATCTTAAATCAATAATATAAACCTGTAATTTTACTGAATATCAATTTTGGCCCATATAACATTCTACCTTAGCCTTTTATAGCCATTTCCTATTTCCAGATCATTCCTGAAAACAAATGAACTTTCTGTATTCTCTTATGAACTCATTATTTTTCTTTCCTCAGTTTGTGCCCTTCAAAGTCTTGAGTCTGAATTCATATAATTCTAAATCACATGTGTTGAAACCACAATACATAGGGATAGGAACTGAATAGGATAATCTGAAATTGTATTCTAAAGCCACAGTGAGCAATAATCCATAGTAAATACACCAGATCATTTTGATGCTTCGGGGGGGGGGGGGGGGAGAGCAGACAGGACCATCTCAGACATAAACAGAACTATGATTTTTCTGATTTTGCCTAGCTTTTGAGTTATAAAGATTATTTAACTGTTTAAGCCTAGGAATGTCAATAACCCTCAGTGTGACAGAAAAAGCATTATGAATAAAATAACAGAATTCGGAATGACCTTGAATTGGCTTTCCAGTCCAATTATCTGCTCAAGCAGAGACCCTATGCATTCTAGAGTTAGACAAATGGTGTCCAATCTCTCCTTAAAAACCCACAGCTTCTGGAAGCAAGCTGTTCCACTGATAAATTGTTCTCACTGTCAGGAAATTTCTCCTTAGTTCTAACTGGATCTCTCATTTATGGGTTTCCATCCATTACTTTTTGTCCTGTCCTCAGGTACTTTGGAGAATAACACAGCCCCTAATTATTGGAAGACTGCTATCATATAATCCCTAGTCCTTTCCTTTGTTAGACAAGAAATACTTAGTTCCTGCAATCCTTCATTGTATATATTAGCATCCAGCTCCTTAATGATCTTAGTTGCTCTTCTCTGCATTCTTTCTGGACGCAGTATTCTAGATGTGGTCTTACCAAAGCAGTATAAAGCAGTACTAATACTTCACTGGCCTTAATTCTGTCTCTCTGTTGATGCAACCTAGGACTGCATTTGCTGTTTTTGGCAGCTGCAGCACACTACTAGGTCATATTTAAGTGATTGTCCATTTCTCTCTACTGTTATTGAGCCATGTTTGCTATTTATTCTATACCTGTGCATTTGAGTTTTCTTGCCTATGTAAAACCTTATTTTTCTTGCCACTGAATTGCATTTTGTTGGACAGGGCCAATGTTCAAATCTGTCAAGATCTTTCTGTATCTTGAGTCTATCTTTTAAACTTTAACAGCCTTTTAAAACCCTTTAAAATTTAAAGGGTTGGCTATTTCCTCCAGTTTGGGGTCATCTGCAAATATGATGAATTCATCTTCTATCCCCTCAAATAAATAATTAATGAAGAAGTTGAAGAGTACTGGACCTAAGACAGAATCCCTCCATGTAGATACAGTTGCATTGAAAACTACATATTGATTGTTAAATAATCAATTATGAATCCATCTGGTGGTGATACTGTCTATCCCACATTTTTCTATCTTATTAATAGGTTGGTTGAGGTCTACTCTGTCAAATGCCTTACTGAAGTTCAAGTATACTATGCCCACAACATTTAGCTGGTCCACTACTTCAGTCACTGTCAAAGAATGCAGTAAGTTTTGTCTGACATGATCTATTTTTGACAAACCTATATTGACTTCCAGTAATGGCTTTGCTTGTTGCAGAATATAAATGAATAGAAATAACCAGAACCTGATGGATTACATTCCAGAGTTCTAAAGAAACTGGAAGAAGTTATCTTAGAACCATTATATCATATCTTTAAAATATCTTAGAGCACTTGAGAACTACCAGAGGATTGAAAAAAAGCTGATGTGGTTCCCATCTTCAAAAAAAGGGAAAAAACAGACCCAGGAAATCAGAGACCAATCAGTCTAACATCAATACATAAGAAGATACTGGGGAAAAAATCAAAAAACAGATCTGTGAACAACTGGAAACAAAGTTATAAATAGTAGCCAGCATGTATTTGTTAAAAACTGATCATTCTTTGACAAAGTTATTAAACTAAGTTATTAAAGTTATTATACTATCAAAATGCTGTGGACATAGTATACACAAACAACACAAGGTAGTGAGGGGAGGGGGGAAAGAGCAGAGGGGGGAACTTGCCCTACTCGCTCCATGCACCTGGCCTGGTCACCGGGCTGCTTCTTTCCGCTTCTTTTTTCTTCTGCTTTTGGCTGCACGCAAGGAAAACAGCCAAAGTCTTTCTTTCTCTCCCCCAAACTCCACCAGAAATGAGTCTTTGGGACTCCACAAGGCATCCTGCTCCAAGAGGCAAGTCTCCAAGAGACAAGTCTCACAAAGACTCATTTCTGGCGGAGTTTGGGGAAGAGAAAGAAAGACTTCTGCTGCTTCTCTTGCATGAAGCCAAAAGCCCCCCCCCCCAGCCTGCCCACCCCCCCACCCCCCGAGAATGGAGCTGGAGATGGTATGCTGCGATCTCAAATAAATAAATGATTGATTGGTAGGAAAATGGGGTGGGGAATTTTGCTATAGACTTTTGGGGGGATTTTCCCGGGGTTTCTGCAGCAGAGACCCTGGGAAAATGTCAGCAAGCCACTGTCAGTCAAAATGCATATTAGTGGTCCGCAAGATTTAAAATGATGAGTTTGGGGGTTCCTGAGGTCCAAAGGGTTGACAACCCCTGGAATAGACAACATCACAACCAGGTA